TTTTTTAACCAAACAAGACATGGTTTTTTTTTTTTCAACTGAGCGAGAAAATGGTTTTTTAGCCAAGCAAGAAAATGGTTTTTTTTTTTTTAAGCAAACAAGAAACGGTTTTTTAACCGAGCGAGAAAATGGTTTTTTAACAAAGCAAGAAAATGGTTTTTTAACCAAACAAGAAACGGTTTTTTAACCGAGCAAGAAAATGGTTTTTTAACAAAGAAGAGAGGTTAAAAAAACTTCCCTGAACATATTGGATACCCATATTTGGCAAGAGTCCAATGTCCTTCATGTTGCACATTTATCAATAGGCTGATGACATGCTTTGCATAAAGTTCAGTGACTTGAGAGCATCTCTAGTTCACTGGGGAAAATTCTCAAATCATTGCAAGATAGGATAAGCACCATGACCGTTGAATCAAGCTTTTGCTTTTCTCTGCAACTCTCATCTCATTTTCAGATTTGTCAAAAGATTTCAGTTAAATAAGGCAATTATATTAACTGAAATAAAGCATCATAACCAATCAGCCTCCCAATCTAAACAAGGAAAAAGAAGGCTAGGGCATGGATAATATGTATGGATAGAAAGAGATAAACATGATTTTTGAATTGCACAACTTTTGATGCAACAATTTTAACAAAGCTAGAAGGCATTCAGGCTATAAAGCATTTGCTTCAAGAATTTATTTCTTTTACAACTCCACCAATCCAGTCTTTAGCATATGAGACAATATCTACTTCCATGCCAAGGTGGACAAATCAAATCTATCTCCTTCCCATGAACTAACCTTCAATGTTTAGAAGACCAATCATAAACCATCGAACTTTCAGTTATACTAACTGACTTGGATTCACTAGATGAAGGATTTTTTTTTTTATGTTCCTTGACAAAGAAAGTTTCAAACCCTCAAATAAGGACTTTATATAGGCTTGTAATGTGGTTTGGGGTTAGGCTACCATGAAAGAAAGGGTAAAGGCTCAAAATCAATTTCTTCATATATTCCCCTCACATTTCTCTCTTCACAACCCCGGTCATTGATGTGGGTTAACAAGAAGAAAATCATCTTGGCTTTTCTGAATTTGGATGATTGCCTTTTTCTAGCACAAAAAGGGTAAGCAAAGGACAATGTTAACTGTTTGGGATAGAGAAACAATGCCTTTCATCATTGGATCTTC